ACAAGGAAAAAATTTAAAAAAAAAAAAAAAGTATAAAGTGGTATGAAGGGAACAGCTGCTGAAGGACTGCTAATGGGTTGTGGAGCTTTTCACCTCATGTTTGATGGCTGTAATCTTCTCCAGGTTATGATCTATGGGATAGATCATAAATCATTGCTTCTTGCTGGGTATTTCCAGTATTTCCAGTAAAAGAAAATCATTCTTGCAATCCTTTCTCTTCCTCGGTTAAAATAACATACCTTTCTTTTTTTTTAGCGGGGTTAACCAAATATTGAGACAAGAACTGAATAAGCTTGAGAGTCAAACTTATCTTGTATACCTTAGGTGTTGCGTGTCCCCTGAGATGGTTTTATGTCACTTCTGTGTGATACCAATAAGACACAAAAAGTGATAGAGCTACGAGGCTCTGTTACTCTGGGAAAACATGTAGAGCTCCTCCAGTTCAGAGCTGTTCTGTACCTTCCAGTCATTCTTTGTGGTGCAGGAGAAGACTGGAGCCTCTAGGCTGTCCAGCTGGACCCGTTTCATTTGTCTGGTACCACAGACATTGTGAGTACCCAGCTCAGCCCTCTGTACCCTTTGCCTTAGAAGGAAGGAATGGAAACCCCTGTAATTACAAATGTGTAACCATCAGATGGGAAGACAAGCAGAGGAATGTGTGCATAGAAGCAACCGTGGGGTGCATGGAGTGCTTTCTCTGAGCATGTGGTACTCATTCAGGATTTCCTTTATTCATGTAGGAGGAGAATTACCTGGAAGGACAGGTATTTGGGGTATAATTCGCAATCATAATAACATTTGGCTGTTACTGGTTGGTTTCTTGCAGGTTTACTGGAATGAATTTGCCTGCCCCGGTTATCAGCAGTAAAAATTGGCTGCGGCTTCACTTCACATCAGACGGCAACCACAGGCAGAAGGGGTTCAGTGCCCAATATCAAGGTAAATGCTTACTGCCTGGTCTCACTATTCACAGTGTGTGTCTAGCCAAACTTTTTTTTCCTAGGAATCTACAACTAACTTCCTGCATGATCCTTCTGTATCCTGTTAACATTAATTTTCCAGCTGGGTATCCAGGCATTGTCATGTAGAGAGCTACTGTTGGCAATTGTTGGGAGTACAGACACTTAAGAGCTACAGGAAAATTCGTTTACACTGTATGCTTCGTTAGTAGAAGTAGATGTTCTTTACCTGCGGTTTTGCAGAACGTGCTGTGTTGGGATATGGCGATCCAGACAGGGTGCCACCAGGCGAAGGGCAGTCTAGAGTCCTACAGAGACTGTGTCTGCATTTACACTCTGCTCAAGTGAGACGTAACTGAGCCCGTTTTGAATGAGGGGTAAACTGTTCTGTATTTACTGGTCATTCTTCCCTAGAAGGATGGATTTCAGAATTGGGATCTTAAGATGCTCTTGGGGGAGAGGATGTGCTTTGGCACACGAGTCAAGCAGAGAAAAGATCCTGTTGTGTTCTGAGGTTTGTAGGCAGCCGTGGCTAACTGCAGTTCAGTGCATCCTGTTGGGGACCAAATACTGACTGAAACAGGTGGGTTTGAGTGGATTCCTTAAACTGTTTATACCATTCTCTCCAAGGACTTTGAAGGACTTTGTGGCTGCAGTGGTGTAGCATTGCTTCAGGCAGCTGGCTCTGGAGGCAGGATCAGGGAGAGGGAAAGTGAAGCAGGGAAGGAGCAGGAATGACATCCAGTTCCTCATCCACTCTCCAGAGGTTTGAGTCAGTGCAGTTCAGCAGCTTTCCTCAAAAGGAAGAAGCAGGACTTTGAGAAAAAGTACCATGGCCCTAGACTAAGAGGAACAAAGTGAAAGGGAGAGGAGTTTCCTTTGATAAATCTGCAAACTTGCCCCATTTGTTTGTTCCCTGTTTGTTTAGCCTTAGCAATGTTGTCATGGCCTCATCATGGGCTTTGCTTTATGAATCACCTTTGTTATTTAACTTTCCTTGCTTTCCTTTAACATATAAATTACAAGGAAAAAAACCCCTCTGTTTTCTGTGTAACACAAATGACTGCTTGCAGCTGATGGCCTTTGATATGACATTTTCCTTTGCTGTCATGATTACTGCTTTCTGTTAAAACACCTGTCTGAATCATCCTTTTTTCTTAAATAGAAAAGTAAAGATTAATGTTATAATTTCCTCCGATTAGGTAAATGTCAGGGGGTTCTAATCTAGCACACTCCTTAGAAACTGTTTCGTTAGATATAATGAACTGTGCTTTTGTGTATTGAGTGTTTAAAAGATGAACTTAAAAATGTGCTCTTGAAGTGGCATCGAAGCAGGACCTCCGTCTAGCTGGCAAAGGGAATCTGACACTCATTCTTCAAACATTTGCTGTTTTTTGTGGAGTTTGTCAGGTTCTTTCCACCTGTTAGGAAAGATTTCATTACTTAAACAAAACAAGAAACAAAGCAAAAGACCCAGGGATAAAGGCAAGATTTTTGCAGTCAATGGAATCTGTGTCCGTAGAACACTGAAGATGCCAATGCAACTTCAAAAAAATCAGCATAACCCTTTTCAGAGGAACATAACCTTGTTTGAAAGTAGAGCAACTAAAATGCATTTTTCAGCAATAGAGATGTAAGCAGACCCCAGGATTGTCCAAGAGAAGGAACAGAGGGTTAGGATGGATCTAACTTGTTGTCTGTTTTCTGAAGACATGCGCATACATCATTTATTAACATTCTGTGCCCTCTGAGACAGTATCTGGCTTTGCTGGTAATCTATAAGAGAGTAGTTTCCCTTCCAGCTTGTTTAACATTGATACTTAGTTTTAGCAGAACGCCTTCTGCGTGTTCCATTTCAGCTCTTTCTAATCCATGCCCTAGTTTGGAAATCTCTTTATGAATGTAGAAGCAAGGTTAGATATAATCAGCCTGTATACTGGTTTTCTTTATGTTGAATACAGTAAATTCGTTCCCTTCCAGGAAGAGTTAAAATATTTTTCCATTTTCTTTTCCCTTTTATGTAAGATGAATCTTGCATTCTTGCAAATACTTTTTTCCCCGCACCCTGTAAAAGCAAATAAGAGGGACTGTAGAGAAATTGGTGCATCAATCTTTTTTTCTTCCTCCCACTCCCTCTGCCTGCCTTCCCAAAAAGGTGCTGTGTACCTGCAGGTGGTAAGAACATAAGCTAGAAGCGCCTTACTCAGGTACTCGGGACAGGTGACAGCGCAGGAGTTAGCAGCCAGGTATTCCCTGTCATCCCCTCTCTCAGCATAGTGATAAGGTACTGGAAATGAGGTAAGGAAAAAGCTGCTGAATTTCAAATGATGCTAAATAGATCTAAGTAATGCTCTGGCTAGTGTAGTCCATCTCTCCACATATTTTATTACAGATGTTGGATCCCAGATTGCTTTTTAGCTGATTGTTACCAACACATAATTACATCTTTTATTGATCTCCCTGCCCCATTCCCTTCCCCTTCTGTCCTCCGCCCTCAGGTAGAAAGATAAATGTGGGCGAGTTTCAGCCCGTAGCACAGTGCAGAATACCAGCAGGCCTGTCGCCTTTAATAATGGTCTGATGAACTATCTATTGCACATACTGCACCACATAAATGGCTTTTAAGGATATGTATATGTCTATAAACATATACGCTTAATTTTTGACAGATTTGATAATCTTCATGTTGCATCACACCTTTGAGCTGCAAAGGGGTTATAGCTTATGCTGTGCAACCTGTTGAGTGTCCTGGGTAATCCTGAGACAGAGGCAAAGACGGGAAAATTCTGGTGCTTGTTGCAGGCTCTTGATTCCTAAAGAACCGTTCCTTAGGGTAGCTAATGGAGGGCGTAAATGAGGAGTTTCAAAATGGTTGCATTTGAGGGTGTTTCTCTTCAATCCCTGTAAGCAACTTCCCGTAGTATCCCAGATAATACTAAAACACCCCAGCAGGAGGAAAAAGAGATTCAGGCAGGTCTGTATTTAATAGTGATCCCCCAGCAAGGGGAACAGAGGTTCATGGAATAGATTTTTGCTGAAATGCTGTTTTCCAAATTAAAAATAAATGAATGTCTCCTTAAATTCTCATTTAGAGCAACATGAAATGCTTTAAAAGAAACACCCCAGACTGCCTGCTTGCTGGAAGAGCTTTGTAATGTCACCTTTCAAATTTGACAGGACACTGAGTATTCCATTAGATCTATCAGATACGTGTGAGCAGCAAAACCCTCCAGAAAACAGAGGAATTTCTGTTCATCTGATTATCCTGACACAGTCCTTTGTAGTACTGTTCCACATTCAAATTTATAAACAAAATAGATTTTTATGTACCAGATTTTTGAGGGCGTAGAGTAAGAGAATTGTTCTTACTTATTTATTCTTTAAAAAAGCAAGTGATAACTGTATTCTGACTTGTTCTAATCTAAACTGAGTAATTTGTAAAGCTTGACTTTCATCATTATGTCTCCATGTCGCAAACAAAATGAATGATTAAGAGGAGAGTATTATAGTGATCTCTCTTTATCAATTATTGTTGAAAGAGATGTGATGCAATTAGGGGAGTATATACTTCATGGGTAATGCAGTTTAGTCTCTGTATTTTACGATTGGTCCTTAGTAATGAATGTCTGGTTTCTGCTGCTTGTTTTCATTACTGTTGGGTGTTTTGGAGCTAGGTTTTCTATTAGTCACAAATTTGGAGTGGGGCTCTGTCTGTTAGCTGGATTCTGGAAGACAGGAATGAATATGGGTGAACCTTTCTTATTTAGTGTGTCCTTTTAAAAATTTGCAGTTGCGTGCAAGGCCTAGATGTGTTGAAGTGGTGAACTCTCCGTACCGCTTGCTTTCTGCTGGGCTTTGGGATGTTCAGCAGCCCTGTGAAACCAATGCAAGTTGCTGTAGTTCAGCAGTCAGTGTGCCCTGATGAGAAGTGCTGACCCTCCCAGGGATGCATTATCCCATCCACGGTGTCAGCATCAATACTCTGTGTGTAGGGCATATGCTGGTGATTGGAAAGCTTTGCCTGTCCTTCAGGGCTACAGGCTTACTTTATCATGCAGAAATCAAGACTTGTGCTTTTCTGTGTGTGGCTAGGAGAAAAATTCACTGGTAATTGTATAAAGTAACTTGCAAGGGAAGTTGCGGAGAATATAAAAATGGAAATTATTTTTATAAAACTGCTCTCTTACTGATGGTGCCCCAAAGCACTTTACAGAGCAATGAATTAGATACTGCAAAGTCATGAGCCATTGTACATCCTGCAATAGCTCAAATTTAGCCTTAGATACTTGGGCTTGACTGTGTTTTATTGACTGGGAGGGAGTATTGGTTGTGACTATCAGGTTATCCCTGTACCTGCTTGGAAAGTGCCAGAGGATCACTAGCTGCAGCATTATGGAGGATAAGCAGAACAGGACCTCCTCAGCGCTTTATCCCGATGGCAGTTTGAGTGCTGCGCTGCAGCATCAGCAAGAGGCCGGAGAGCTCCAGCCCTGGTGCTGTCCTGTCCTGCGTGCAGATGGAAACACCTCTGGGCAGCACCGCCGGGTCCTGCCGAGGCCCGCTGCAGGACAGGACAGGGCAGCTGCGGCTGCAAGAGCGGGGCAGCCTCTGCAGGCAGAGGGAATTTATCTTCCTTCACTGGAAGAGCACTTACATGGGTGCAACCGGGCTGATGGGTGCTCCTGCTGTGCTAAGCAAAAGGGTGCTGGGGGCTTTGCACAGGACGGTCGTGGTAGCCATGACCCCCTCTGTTATACTGGAAAACGGCTGTGGAGTGCCTGTAAGAGGGACCCTGTAAACTCTTCCCACTCCCCGTCTAGTATTTTGCTGCAAGGGGTTTATCTGTTGCTGCCCTGAGCCAGAGCACAGCTGAAATTATAGCTGGCTAATGGTTGTTATACACAGGCAAGAGGGCGTGTGAGGTAGCCCTGTAATCCCGTGGCCTTCAGTACAGCCTTTCATTTCTCATTTGTGTTTTAAAGCTGTCACTATTCTAGTTGAGGCAGGAATATGTTCCAGACTTGCCCAGAAATTTTAGCTTCTGTAGCCCCGTGTCCGTCCTTTGGTCCCTTCATACAGTGCGTTTGTTAAAAACCTTGAGGTCAGACTACAAATATCCCAGAATTATCATACCATGACCTGGAGGAATATGTGGCCATTTGGGGCATTCTGAGACCTGCTGCTTTTCTCCTTGTGCGTTTGCAGGTGGATTAAAGTAAAAAAGAAACAGTTGTGTGTTAGATTTGCTTTGAAAGTGGCATACTGTTAATTATTTTTCCCCTCTTAAAAAAATAAGGCAAAAAACCCCCAACAGAATAAAGATGCTAATACTAGTAAGAAAGACATGAACAACATAAGCTTTTCTTCATGAATATTTTTTAAGCTAATGTGGACCTCAGTTTGAAGTTATAACTGCTTTATTTAAAGAGAAAGTAAGAAGCTGTAACCAAACGATGAACAAAAAGCTCCAAGCTAGCATCTAGCTCAGAAAAGCACTACCTTAGGTAAGCTTCAAGGAATAATGCTTGACATCCCCCTGTCTGAAGCTCCTGCAAACAGATGTTATAAACAGATCTTTTTTTTAAGCCAAAAAAGCATGATTAAAAAAACCTTGTTATGTCGGTAATTTTTCTTGACAACTTTGTCTTAGAAATGTGCTAATTTAGGGATGAAAGAATGACAAGATAAAGAACAAGAAAAGAACAGTTAGAAGTGGAAGATGGGCTGGTTTTCTCCATAGATAAGGACTGGCTCATCAGAAAAAGGATCCTATGAAGTGATTTGGATGTCATGCTTTCTGCTGTGATGTTATTCTTTAACCACACTAACTTCAAATATGCCAGTAAAAATTCTACTGTGTGTTAGTCAAAAATACCTGTGTGTATGCTGCAGGAAGCCATTGTCTCTCTCTCTCCTGGTATCCAGATGGTTTTGACAGTGTGGGTTTTGTGCAAAACCCTCTTGTGTAGAGAGACCCTTGGTAACAGCCAAGTCCAGATAATAAAAACAAGTCGCTGCTCAGTTACGTGGGGAATTTTCATATTGTGAAGAAGGATGGGACTCTCTCGGTGATGGATGGATAGAAGTCTTTTTTTGCTACCCTCATATGTTTTCTCATCTTCTGGATGAGGTTTAGAGCAGGGAGGTGAATGGTCGCAATAGGACCTCTGGTGGAGTCAGCGTGCAGATTTTAATTGATGTGCCTGTGGCTATTAACAGTGGGTCTGTAAATATATACTTCTCTTTGCCAATAATGTGGTTTTAATATGGCCTTTTTCTCTGCTATTTTACTGCCTTTTTGAGTCTGCTATTGATGCAGATTCTGTGCAATTTTTAGCTTATGGGGTGTTCATTTGGGTGCTGTATTCCCATAGAAGCAGAGAATGGCTTTACTGTATAATGTATTCATGGAATAACTGCATCAGTAAAACTGGGTGAAACTAACTCAGCATTTTACTCTCAGGATCCCTGAAGTTTCCTAGAGCTTCCCTTCTGTCTGTTTCCCACTTTTAGTATGTTAAGCAAAACACCGTGGTTACAGAGGGATAGGGGTTGTGTGCCCAATTTTTATGTTCTAATTGGGTCAGCTCAGATCCCCAAAGACACCAGTCCAGACCTAACAAGGTAAATGAAAAGGGGGCCCTAATGGTTTTGAGGGGTCAGGGTAAGTTGTCAGAGCTGTAAGGAAAGATGCAGGGTGTCCTGCACTGTGGGTGGTGTACAGCTGTTGCTTCACTTTTTTTTAAATAACCCCTAATGCTTAGCTAAATCTTTTCCTTGTCTTTTGCTTTGTTTTAAATCTGTCTCTGCAGTCAAAAAGCAAATGGAACTGAAGTCCAGAGGGGTGAAGCTAATGCCCAGCAAGGACAATAACCAGAAGACATCAGTGTGTAAGTTTTTTGGCTCCTCCTTACGCTGTCTTTGTATAATGATCTCCTTGAACATTTCATTTGACTTTCCAGTAATCTCTAAAACTTCGTCACTCTTACAAGTTTTAATGCTTTTCCCTCTCTTCCCTCTGCATTACTGCATCACTTCCTTCCAGTGCTCTATTCACAAGCATATACTAACTTGTTAAAGTGGGAACGGAGGGGATCGGTGTGTGTGCATTTAATATATACTGTATGCTTCCTGCTCAATGACAGCCTGGGGTTCACTTCTTCTGTCGTCTTTTAGTGTGGAAAGTGTGAAACTGTAAACCATTTTGAAAACTGAATTAATGTTACTGTTGTAACGTTAGGAGTAGGGGTAAGGAACCACACCAAAAAAGACCTATTAGAAAATCTACGGAGGCAATAGCAGTCTCTCTCTTTTTCTCTTTGCGTTTTATTTAATTGTCCCTGCAGAAAAATCACACCACTGCTGTGCGAGAGCTTATAATACTGGTTTTTATGGTCTCCTGATTAGTTACTTACTTTCAGTGCATCTAGTGGTTGATATGTTAGAGGCGTGCTCAGAATGTCACTTTGCCACTGGTGTGTTTTCCTCTTGCAGGAAGCGAATCCGTTAGGTCCATTCATCTTTACATTAGGTTCCTTTCAAATCAGAAGCAAATCTCATAGTTTCTTTATGCATATGACTCCAGAGAGATGACTGGGCTCTTAAGGGGACTCGATTAAATGGGAGGGATCTGAATTAACTCGAGTTTATATTTTATATAAATTCAAATAGGAACAGAATGTAGCATTTCTTAAAATAGGTTTTAGAGGAGAGGATATAATTGCTCATTTTGTTGCACAGTCCATTACACCCATCAAAGAGGTACCGTTTGGACATTTCACTCGCCTGAATTTCGGATGCAAAATTCAGTTAAGAAAAATGGATGAACTGAATTTAAAACATCGCTCGCTGTCTGTCTGAAATGAAAATGGCTCAGTTCTAGGCTCACAGGAGAGTGCTTATAGTCTCCAATTTTTCAGGAGCAAGGCCCAACAAGGTAACTAAATAGCAGGATGTAAATTGCCCAAAATATCCAGAGCAGAAAATAGTAGGGCATGTTTCAAGAAAATTAATTCAATTTTAAGAAAAACCCCGTATGCAAGATGTTCCTGGTCCTATGATATATTCTTGCCAAGAGGAATTTAATTGTAATACGCATTTCAGTTCACTTAATGGAGAATGAAATTCTGTTGGAAAATACCACTAGCTTTGATTGTGTGGGCACTGGAGACAAAGGGATGTGTTTGGAGTGGGATATCTGCTATCTTGGATTTTGGGGAATGTGGGGAAGGGAGTCTTCACCGAGTGAAAAATGTTAGCCTGGTTTGGAGTGATTAGTTTACTATATATGAGTATTCTGGAATTGAGAATATATAGGATTCCCATTTCTCCTTCCTGGGAATGCTAGGCTGCTTCCCCGTAGCGGTTTTACCTGTTGCCAATGACCGTTGTCAGCACTATCCCTGCCGGGGGCTCCCTGCTCTGTCCCAGTCGTGCTGAGGATAAAAGTGTAGGAAGTTCTTGTTGCCTCTGCCCAGTTTATCGTCACCCAACGGAGAGCAGGCTCCAGTCTTCAAAGCTGTCAGTTCAGCATCTTGTGTAGTGCTAATCTTGTCATATTTGATAAGGCAACATAGAGCGTAGGAAGGCAGCTTAGCCTGAAAGCTATTAAGCTATAATAATATAAATGGTGATAGTACTGTGGCCCAAATTCCTTTCCGTTACCAGCATGGTGCTTGCCACAGCCCTTGTGCCTTCAGCTCCTTCCATGTGCGCTGCTCTCAGCACGGTCTGGATTGTAAACCCAGACTAACCTCTGTCTTGCACAGCCTTCTGCTGTCACGCTTCTGTTACAGTAAATTTTTTACTTCAGAAATGCTGATTCCGGAGAAGATGTCTCCAGAAAATGGTTCATTTTCAGAAAATGGAGCCCAAAATGTTATCTTCTTTTTTTTTTCCCTTGTTTTTTTGGTTTGCATGGCTAGCCATGCCCCTTCTTTTCTCAAACTTTCACGAGCTTATGGGTCTCCATATGCATCAGAGATAATTATGCAGGTGGGACAGGCTGATTAAAGATCTGTGAAGTTTGGTAGTGTTGCTCTTATTTCATCCGGCTCGAATATTAGAAATTTCTGTGTCTCTTGGTAATAGCTAGAACTATGCCATGCTTTATTTTTAAAGACTTTCCTACCAGCAATGTTTTCTAGTGCTCTTTGCACCTGTCCTAAAATCCTCCCTTGAAGAATCTGTGGCCACATAAGGCAGGTTGCAGCTACGTGCTCAGTACCCTGCAGGTCTTTCAGAGGATTTCTGTTTTTCTGGATGGATGCTGTGGTTAGCTGCTGCCAGATCCCACCTGGCCAGATTAAAGTCTGTGTGTTTCATGTGTCTGAATGGAGGCAAAATGTAGTCACATAACAGCTGTTGGTACTATTTCAGAAAAGGAATATATAAAAATACGGAATTTGGGGGGGAGATGCTAATTGTGTTCAGTCGCAGTCAAACATGTTTATTTGAAATTGAAATCAAGTGCCTTGTACTGTTCACCATCCCTAAAATTAATTGGACATCTTGCTTTAATTATTTTTAGAGGAAAAATAATACAGCTCTGGAGAATGAGATAAGAAAAAGTTTTAAATTTTAGATTGCATTTAGGAGATTATTTCTTTTACTGCATGCAGTATGTAAATATGTATGTTCCAGGTTCACGCAGTGGGAGAAACATGGTACTTTGCTTTTACAAGACAGCATCGAAGTTGCTTTTCTGACCTTTGAATGAGGCATACCTGAAAATGCACTGCTGGATATTATTGGAAGGGATTGTATGAAGTAGTGCAAGTTCTGTGTGTATTCAGACTTGTCAAAATCTATTTTAAATGTACAAATGCAAAGTCATTTTGGAGGTGTTGACCAGTTTTAGGTCTCAGCCAAGTGTATGGAAGCTTCTAGATATATTCAGCATTGCAGCAAGCCTGCTTTCTGCATCAGATGTTGAGGTACGAATGTGTGTATGTGGGTCCCTGCTATACTGCAACCGCACAAAGTGAGTCTTGAGCAACAGAGGAGCCAGCCTTGGGTTTCCAGCGCTAGGCAGCACAGCTTTGAAAGAAGCTGTGTTTGGTTTAAGTAGGGCATGCTGCAAACACAGTCTTTGCGCATGATCTTTAAAATCTGAAATTCTGTAAACGTTTTTGAACTCCCATACTTCTGAACTACTCTGAGATAGCAGCAAGATGTGAAATATGGGTTCAGAATTCCCTAAGTAAAAAAATTCCAGCTGGAAGTAGTCTTCTCCAGTGTTAGGGCCTCACAGCCCAAGTCTGTACCCTTTTCACACTTGCATATTGCTAGACACGCGAGTGTTTAACGTCTGGATCAGTATCACTGAGGTTCTGGACATGCTTAACATTTGGTTGTTGGGTGCTGAAGGACCTTCCTGGATGGGAAAGGCGGTGAGCACACTATCGGTAGGTCAGCTCTCCTGCTTTTAGGACTGAATTTTGTAACCCATTAACTTCACCAGCTGGTTGCATGGAGTAACTGCAAGCCTTAGTGTGATCGTAAAGATTAACTTTTTAAAAACAACTAATTACTGCTACAATTCTTCCCTCCCCACCCCCCATGCCAGTAGAAAAGCTCACTTGCTTTCACTGTATTTCTCATGCTGAGAAATGTCGAGTCTTTGTAAAACCTTTTTTAGATGCTGCTTTATTTTGTAGTTTGTATTTTACATTCATAAATTCAATAAAATATTGTCCCTTGGGAATCTATCGGTGAACTTTCTCTGTATCTCCCCGTGTTAATAAAGAACTAAAGAAGGTTCTCAGTTCTTTTAACAGATGGAGTAAATTACTGTGGCAAACAAAGCAATCATAACTGGCTGTTATTGAACACACGATGAGAAGAAAGGAGAATGAAGGGGTGGAAAACTAGTTCCATGGTTTGGGGGAGATAATCCTTGAGCCTATAATGTAGAAATTGAACAGCTCATCACAGTTTTTAAGATCTATTGTTTTCCTAGTAACCTTGAAGAATTCATTTTGGAGTGCTACAGCCCAGGCATAGATCAGTCAAACCTTCAGGAAGATGAACACAGTACTGACAGCAAGTTCTCAGCATAACAAATATGGTTTATAACCTTTGGTTTAGTTATGTTCGTGTGTGTGTGTTTAAAACAAAAGGTAGAAGAACAAAAGTTTCTGTAAGTGACCATCTAATCCACCCTCTCCTTTTCTTTTGCTCTCCTTTACATTTACAAGTAAAATGTCCCAATTATCATGATATGGAGATATCTTTCCTTTCCCCCTTGCTCTATTTTGTCTTATCTGTTCTCTGGTTTATCTACACCTGTTATGTAGATGTTAATAAAATGCTAGCTAACAAGAGAAGAACTGGTTTTAGTCTTCAGAAATGTGATTGATATCTGACAACCTGCCCGCTGGTGTCTGCAGGTTTTGCTGGTCATCTGTAGCCTTGCTTCCTCCTGAAGCTTTGAATCAGAGGCTTCAAGGTTTGCTGTCGTCTGATATGGGACATAATAAATGGATGTGATACCAGTGCAGAGTAACTAACATGGGCATAAAAGATGTTGTCTGGGTAGTCTTTTGACCATGGGAGAAATAATTTGATGTGGAAAGGCAGTCTGGTAATCTGCTCTGCAAGGAAGAACATCCAAGTGTTTGAATGTAGACATATCTGTAGAAGCTGTGTTTGTGCATGTGTACATTATAGGCATATCTCATTTAGTGTGGTTTTACTCTGGAGAAGGTACAGAAGTAAGATGAGAAATCTTAGAACTTTTCCTTAAATACCATATGGACTTGTGACATACAACCCTAGTTTGTACACTCTATGCTAAGCGTTAATTTGACGTTGTTTGGAGATACCTGTATGCACAGTCATCATATTTGTATAGGTGGGTAGTGATTTAAGAAACCCTAAGGAAGACGGTGTCACCTATGTATTTTGTTGAGCTGACCTTTCATTTCTCAGAAGCAGCATATCATTTCAAGCACTAGCAGAAGGGCTCTTGGAAGCTGTTGACTTCATTTGCAGAATGATCACCAAATTATTTTGCATCTGAGACCTGCTGGAGATACCCACTCCTGGGGCAGGGTTTTGTCATGGCTGCTTCAGTTATCAGGGCACGGTTGCTGAAAATATCAGAGATGAATCCCTGCTGTGGGCAGGGGCTCCCTTCTTTCTGACTCTGGTGTATGTTCAGAATCATCAGAATCTGTGAAAGGTGGCAGCAAAGCTTTGTAGCTACAAAACGCAGCCATCAAAAGAGACTGCGTGCCGCTTTCATGCTTCTGTCTGTTGCTGGTGTCTCTGCTTGTCCACGTGACTGAGCTTAATGTGAGGTTATGAGCATGCAAAAGAGGGAAAGCAATCTCTCAGGAGTCTGGTTTCCTATAAAGCCATATCTCACTTCTCCTTTTGCCCTCAAACGCAAGGAGGAGACTGTGGAGCGCCAAAGCATCATGCTGAAACATTGAGTGCTGTGCAGCGGCTGTGCCAGAGGAGGAGGGCAGGGACAGCCCTACCCCGTCCCTCTGGGTCCAGCAGCACAGCAGCTGTGCTTAGTTCAGGGGGTTGGCTCCAGCACGGTGGGGTGGGAGGTGGTATGGAAAGGGAAGCCAGGAGAGACAAAAGCCCTTTCAAAATTGAAGGGGATGGGATGAGATGTTAGTGCCTAGAGCTGAGGAGGAGGTCGAAGCTGTAATGTTTTCAGCGTAGGTAGCCAGGAGTTAGGTGTAGATGCTCGTATGAAAGCCCCGTACCAGCAGGAGCAGAGTGATCCTTCTGTCCTTTTAGGAACAGTGTTAAATCTTCCAGCTGTAGTGCCTGACTATGCAAGGTATAATTAACCAATGAATAATTATCATATTTGATGGTCTTGCCTTTTTGTGTGTTAATGCTGTGCAGTCTGTGTTTGTGTAGACACTCCATGTGCTTATCTTCCCATGTCAATATCTATGTGCACGCACCTCCATCTCTTCCACCGTGTTTGGTGCCATGCAGATCTCAAATTGTTGAGCCAACCTGTCTGGTGTGAGAAACATGCTTTTATCAGAGCACCATCATCCATTTGGCAGTGGTCTTTGGGGCACTGTGCTAACACAGTATGTTCTGAAGTATAATTGAGATTTTTTTCCTTCAATCTAGTGGTAGGCAGAGGTAGAATGGAACCATGCTCGCTTAAGATTCATGCTTTGCTGCTTCGGCATCATTACCAAGAAGTGTTGCATTTTCTTTGTGTCCTTCCCTTAGTGATACAAGAAAGCCAAGTCACATAAAATTCTACAACTCTGTGACAAAATCACCACTTTGTCCCATATTACCGTGCATTTTGGTAGTTGCTGGAATTCAAAATTGAAATCAGTATATTGCCAGATCTCATCTCATCCTTGTCAGGAGCCACCCAGGTTATATCCACCCCAAGTCAATGCTTGAATGCTTGTTTGCGCCATTTGACAGGCTGGAGGGGGAAGTGGGAAATGGGGAGATAGAGAATGAAGTTTGAAGGTGTTTATTCAGTGCTGATCACCACTTCATAGATTTCATGTTTGTTGGCAGTTACATTAAAGTTGCTCCATACAATTTTTCACATTCAGACTAAATTACTTGCTTTAAAATGCTAGACTTGCATTTCCCTCTCCTTTCTCCCTTCTGTTCTGTGCTTGGTTTTTTCCCTGGTGTCACACACCTGCCTTTTCATTGAGTTGTTTTCTTTCCCTGGCACCACTCAGATGGGTTTGGAGGGGCGGTAGGCTGTCACCTTGTCCTGTCACAGGTGGCCATTTTAATCACAGGCTTCGGAAATGGGTTGTTTAATTGGTGTAATTTTGCAGAATGAAAAAACTCTTTTCAGAGGTGCTTCTGTAGTGGAACAGAGGGAAAACTGCGTCCCTAGCTGGCATTTCCTAGAAAACACTTTGTTGTATAAACTGAGCTGAAATGATTCCAGTTACATTTGTTTCCAAAGCTGTTTTTCTCTAAAAAAAAAAAAAAGAACATGTTCAGGTTTTCGAGCTACCAATTGCCATTTTTCTCTCCACATCCACCAAGACAGTTGATGAAAGAATGTTTCTTTTGCTATTCTATCTCTGTATGTGCTGTTTTTGCTTTGTAGTAACTCAGGTTGGTGTGTCCCAGGGACATAATATGTGTCCAGACCCTGGGATTCCAGAGAGAGGCAAAAGAATAGGCAACGATTTTAGGTAAGAACCTTTTATGTGTGTGTTTATGCATGCTGCAAAGCTACTGTCTATAACCATTGTGTGTGCTCCTTGGCATTACGTAGTCTGTTTTTTAGAGACCATCTGCACACCTCTAAACGTATTATGTCTGAAAAGCTTGCTGAGACTAGTGATGTAGAAGAACAAGTGTGTATAAATGTGCACATGTGTGTTTGGGAGACAGTGTCCCAGATGAAGATCTGTAATGACCTCTCTTTCAGAGTATTTCTCTTTTCACAACATGGGCGTTTAGCCAGACTTGTGTAATTGGTGGTTGTTGTCATTCCCCCCTCCAGTTATGTGCAGAAAGAACTGTCTTAAAGAGCAAAAAAATCGCTTCTCAAATTTGCTTAAGTCGCAGCATGGCCCTGCCCCTAGTGAATTTGAGGTGACTTCCCAAAGCACTGGTACAGTTCTTTGTCAATAAGTATACGTGGTGCTAGATAACTGTTTTCTTACAAAGTTTAAAACAGTGCTGTTATTCCCTTGTAGTTGCTAGCTTGCATTTAAAGTGTGCAGGAATGAATCAGCCTGCTGTTAGCAATAGTGAATCAATATTTAATCTTACTTTGCTGTCGATGGCTGTTTTGTTCACTAAAAGTGTCTTTCAATTTAACCTGAGTCTATCAAATTCTCCTGAAATCCAGAAAATGGATCGGAGGGGTGCGGGTGGAGGAAAGGGAATTCCCAATAGTCCCTAAATGCCATAGGATAAATTCTCAGCTGCTGTAAAACCGGCATTGTGTCGCTTCAGTGAATAAGGCAGCATTGGCTTAAACCAGCACAGGATCTGTATCCAAAGTGAGAGAATAAAGAACAAATCTTTCAGTAGTAGATAAAGATTTTTTTTTTTTCTTTATAAGAATGCTGAGCATGTCGTCTCTTGGGGCTGAGTCCGTGCTCCCGCACTGAATAAAATTCCCACTGAAGTTGCTTTGAAAGACTCAAATCCATTCTTGGATTATCACTACCTAAGGCAAACAGTGCTCAGCACAAGCAAATGTATGAGGCAGAAGCTTGCCCCTCATTCATTTCTGCTGTTGCCTGGAGGACCAGTGAACTCTCTCTGTTCACAATTTGGAGAATCTCTGGGACAGTAAAAAGTGACAAACTTGTTGCTGCATAAGTGTCTCAGTCGCTAACTGCACCCTTTGTTCTGTCTGCTAGGCTAGGCTCCAGCATCCAGTTCACCTGTAACGAGGGCTATGATTTACAAGGGTCCAAAAGCATCACCTGTAAGAGAGTGAGCGACATCATTGTTGCCTGGAGTGACCACAGACCAGTGTGCAGAGGTGAGAAGACAAAAAAAAATTTTACTGAGTTATTAGGTCTAATGAGAGAACCCATCTCCTTAATGTCCCCTTCGTGCATCACCCATTCTGTCCTCAAGTTTGTCATCCCTTGGTTAGGATCCCTCAGCTGGTTCTTAACCTCGGCCTGCTCTGTGGCCCGTGGTACAGATCTGTTTTCAAAACCCTGCCTCGGGCAAGGGGCACAGCTAGAAGAGCCCCCCGCTCTCGATGCTCGCAACCTGTTGGGAAAATTCAGCTCTCTACTGCTGTGTTCAGCACGGCCCCGAGTGCATTTGTGCTCTTGGAAATGGGAGTTTGGACTTGCCAGCCTCATGGTCAAAAGTCAGTAGGATCTTTATTCTTTTCTAATGGTGATTCTTGTTTTCTGGCTGAGTGTGAGAGTAATATGGGTTCAAATTTTTCAGTCTTTTCAGCAGAAGCCTGAGAAAGAAACCTTTGCTTGGTTCTCATGAAATTTTTTGGTTCCAGAAATTCAGGTTTTGAGAAAAACACCTGTTCCTGTTGCATAATGGAATTAATAAAGCTATTTCTATTAACTACAGAGCTTCATAAGCTATTAGCTCTGGACCATATGGATTATATTTGTCCTTCATACCTGTGTACCATGTCCTCATCCCTTTGCAATGCTTTCTGTCCCCTTCTGTTCTCTCTATTCCAGGTATTTCTTTTTAAGGGATAAGGAGGAGAGGGGAGAAAAGGTGAAACCCTGAAACAAAATCTGGAAGAGCTAAGATGGAAGGAGATTCTGTTAAATGGAACTTGCTGCTAGTAGGCAGCAATGTGGGATTACTTAGCCTGTGGTTCCTAACTAGCATGATCCTGATCATCGTGTGGCCCAGCCATGAGCCATCAGTGAATGGAGTTTTCTTTCAGCGGGGGAAAAAAACCTAATGTCCATTTTGGCCTTGGCCTTTTTGTTTTCATTCTCTCTCTGTCTCTAAAAAGTGGCATGCATAATTGTGATATTTGTAATGCTAATAACAAATGACTTGTGATATTTTTAATTAAAATCCTCTAAAGCTTTTAAAGCCATAAATTGGTATTTTTTTCAGTTCTTTCTTTCATTTCATCTGCAGATTTTTTCAAGGCTTTGGAATCCCATGTAATTTTTGAAACAAGCCTAGAATAAATTGAATCAGTGTAAGAGGATCTTTGGCATAAATATGTGACACTATAAAGGAAATTTATGGTGTCCTCTTGCAAGAGATAAGAAAGGATTTGCCTGCATTATGATGATTCTATGAATCAACTTTTTTTTAACCACTAACTTTTGAGGTTTTTTCTTTTTAAAAAGTTTTCCAGTTGCTTTTTATCTCAGCTTTATACCACTTTTTTCTGTTTGTTCCATGTTGTTATTGGGTATTGAGTTTCTCTCAAATTGCAGATATCGGGGTGCCCGGTGAGCCAGCTTTTAATGCCCTGGACTGTACCAATTTCTAATACCCAGTGATCAAATGTCTTGCCACTGTTGGGAGACTTTTTCGGTTTCCCCATCTACAGCAGATTCCCCCTGGGTCCTGGGGAGACTCACTTAAGTCCTTTGTGCTCCTGTTGCCCACTTTTAAAATGGGAATAATAGGATTTACCTTTTTTCTGTAAGGTAGGTTGGGACATGTGTAACTGACTCCAGGATGGGGTCACATAGGAGGGGGCAGGCTTTTTCTCAGTGTTCCTCATGTTCCCTTGTGACCACCTGTGTAGTCAAACAGTTTGGCCAGGAGATCATTTTCCATGCTTTAATGCTATTTGGAGGGGGCAAAAAGCCTTGCAGATGCCACGTGTGCAGATATGGCTCCTTTGAGATTTGAGAGAAATTAATTTTGAAGATCCATCACAACAGCAGAGGCAGTTACAAAACCAGAATGCTGTTCTTCACAATTTCTGGTTAAATATTACATCAAAGGAATACCAGAGGCAAAAATTTCCCCACTCAAGCACTTTTCAGCTTCTACTTTGCCCAAGATGTTTTTAAGATACAAAATTGAGCTGCCATCTTGGTTCTGATTCCACAGTCACACCAGCATGAAGTCAGCCCTTATCTAATAAATACTTGCTGTGCAGTATTTTTTTTGACCTGCAATGAAGAAAGGAAATATGGCCTTCTGGGGATGTTAAAAAGGAGCTGCGTCTTACCTGGCATCTTCCGTGTAGTTGCTTTCATTGTCCTGGACATGAAGGTATTTCTGTGAGGGCTTTAATATAGTAAAAAATAAATAGAATCAGTCTGAGTGGTAGGGAATGGGTGGTTGTTGGTTGGTCTGGTGGTCCGTCTGTTTGATAGCCCCTGGAAACACCCCACTCATCTATTCATCACAAATAAATCCTTCATCTCTGATGTTACATGGAAAAAAATGAATCTTTTGGTTAGTGAAAACAACACAGAGCAGCAGTTTTTAATTCTCCACCACTTCCATACTGTATGCATCGCTACTTCTCTCTCCTCCGTAAACAAAGAACACCGTATACATGCCAAAGCTTAGAGACCTCACTCCCACCTGTCTTGTTTTCCTCTTCACAGCTAGGATGTGCGATATGTACCTTCGTGGTCCCAGTGGTGTGATAACTTCTCCCAACTACCCTGTACAATACGATAACAATGCCTACTGTGTGTGGGTCATCACTGCGCTCAATCCAGCCAAGGTAGGTCTCGGAGATGCGTCGCCATGTCATTACTTCAGTGCCTTAGTTGAAATGTTGTATAGCTATGCTTCTTCAGAGAGGACTGCTCTATGATACTTAGCCATTCAAGTTTCTGTTTCTGATGTTGTACCTTCCTCTCCCCCCGCAGACTTCTTCCACGTGTTTCTCAACTGTCTTTAAAGACTGCAACACATCACATTCCCTCTCTGCTGTAGGATGTAAAAGAAGTTATTAAAAGTGAATGTAATTATTTTTAATGAAAACCTCTTTGATATCTTGGCGTGAATGGTGGTGAAATGCCAAACAGCTTAGCAAAGCATCTCATTAAGCCAGCTCTCAGCTGGGGCAGGAAGGCTGTGCCAGGGATGCTGATTTTTCACTTCCTTTTGGCTGGTAGTTGGCCCCTAACCAATGGGGATTTCAGCCCCCAAAGGGCAGAGGGCAAGTGAGGAGGGAGGTATGGTTCTATCTACTGCTATTTATGCAGTATTGTAAATTTATAAACAAGTCCTTTCTGTGTTCACTGAGGTTTGGAAGAGGGGAGGTTGGTGGGGATTTTTTGTCCCCACTGGTCTGCATGTGTGATTCAAGTCTGTTGTCGCTGATCACGTGGAGGACAAAGCTTAACTGCCTCGGCCTTTGTAAGATCAAGTCCTTTCCATTTTCCACTGGCTCAGGGAGGACAATGTTCAGTGCCTCGCAGCTTTTTCCAGCCCTGCAAACTCAGCCTGTTCCTCTCCTCCAGATCTGTATGGGAGCATAAGAACAAAAATTACACTTTGAGCTGTGTAGCTCAAAATACATTTTCTGAGGTGTTATTCACCATCTTCTGCTCTCAAATGATGACAAGTTTCATTCTTTTTAGTATCTGGGTTCCTACTAACACCATCTCCATTAGCTCATGAGCAAATCTTGCATGCCAACTCACTGAGCTCATATGCTTATTCTGTCAATTATGCCTTGGTCCTTGCCTCTAGACAGTCCTGCGTTTTGGCACTCTGCCTTTTGCCGCTGATCCAAGGAAGGCATTTCACAAACATGTTAGTATCCCAGATCTCATCTTCTGCTAGAAATTGTTATGGTGTGTAGAAATGCTGGCAACCATCCACAGTTGTAGCCTGCTTGCTGCCGCTGATGGGATGGCATCTTGTGCTCTCACCTCCAGCGCTTCGCCTCCCTCTGGAGCGCTGGCTGTGGCAGGGCAGCTAGAGCTGGGGCTGGCTGAAGAGCCTGTTCAGTTCTGCTTCTCTCTCCCCATTGACCTCAGTTCAAGCCTTTAATAAGCGCAGATCACTGGTGGATTATGATTTTAATGAGGAGTGTTCCTATGTTCCAATTTCAGAATGAGTTTATGTTTAAAGGGCTGTCATTAGCTGGTCATTTCATCCAACGGATGTCTTGGTTTGGCTGCATAGGAGTGTAGTAATGACCCAAATTCTGGGAAACTGGAGTGAGGAATCAGGATATTTTTCAGTGCTGATTTATTAGGAGTGATTTACTGGTTAATCAGACCCAGGAGGTTCTCCTTCATCAGGCTAATGTGCAAGTGGAGAACAGGCCACATGTAACAGCAGCTATTACTGCTCAAGTGTCAGCTGTGTTTTTCAGCCTGTGACCTGCAGACCCGTGGGTATACATTGCCTGTGCATGGACAGGTTATTGAATACATCAGCATCTTAGGCTGTTGTATGTGTATTATATATATCTTTATTTTTGTGCATCTTTGTATTTTAAAGATCAGCAAAATCCAGTTTTTGTGTATATAAAATAGTCCTATGTGTTTGGAAAGAAGTTGTAGTGAGCTAGATGTAGCCGTGCCCTGGGTGTTATGTAGGCTAACACTTCCATTTGGGTTTTCCAGTACAAATTATGAAGGAGGAGATGGCAATCAATCGTCAAGAGATGCTTATGGGCCACGTCCACTGTTTTATTGACCCTTTGTCACATTGCTTTCGTGTTGAATATTCAGAGTCTTATCTTCAGCTCTGTTCATTTGCTCTTCTGCTGGCCTCATGCACAAACTTTTTCTGCTCTTTCTTCAGCAGTGTGAATAGGACAAGCTGCTTCTTTCGTAAGCTTCCTGGGCAGATTGTCTCATTTTTCAAAAACTTACTGTCTTTGTGAACTTCTACTTACGGAAAGTTTCTCCTCTTCCTCTGGTTAGTTTCTTCCTCAGCTTTTAAACCTGTGTAATAATAAACTATTGATTAGAAAACAGAATCTGCAAGTCCTGATCCTCAACTTTCATAAATCATAAAGGGGATTGAAATTGGTAAAATCCTTTAATTTCAATACTTACCAACTTGGAGCAGAGATCCAATAGCACAAGAAACTGTAGTTTGTGCTCCATGGACTACAACGTCACATGCTGTAAAGAGGTGTAGCACAACTGAAATAAGGATAGATTGGTCAAATCAGCAGCTTGTATTAACTGTGTAAAGAGACTGCCTTTTCCTTTTTCTTTGAAGTGATAAATAGTTAATAGGTAATATCAGTTTATAAAGGGTTTCTGGGTTTTGGATGTTTCATCCTGGAAGTGTAATTTACAGGTAGGAAGAAACTTTTCAAAGCAGGGAGGGTTGAGAGGAGTGCATCGATTGTTTTGGGAAAGCCACTGCTGTGCCTCCTTGTTCCTCACGCAGTGCTTCACCTGCTCATGTTAATTTGAGCTGCTGTTCAGAGCTGCAGCCTGATGCCATTCCTTTGCGGGAATGGCAGAGGAGGCTCTGCATGGTCCTGGGAGCCCAGGCGAGGCACAGGCTTTCTTCTGGCACTCCCCAGGAAGATGAGAAACAATGGAAACAAATCAATTGCCCTTAGTGTTTTCTGCTGCTTAAAGAATTCATTAAAGTTGCAGAAACCGAAGTCGTGCAGACAGGACCATATCTGGTTGGTAAAATACAAAAAGGCGAGTAGGTTCACTGGCACGGGCGGTTTCTTTTGTCCAGCGAACAGCTCCCGAGGCTGGCTGCGTAGGCTAATGCAGCAGCACACATCTGCTTAACCCAGTATAGCAATGGGAGTTGCTGGTGTGTGAGTTCTAATGCCAGCTCGGTCACTGGTATTCCTGCCTAACGAGTCACACAGCGCTGCATCTGACAAGTACACATAAAACTCTCGCTTACTTAAAGCACGGCCCATGTTAGAAACATGTTGCTAAATTGGAGAATTCACCTCCCTGACTCACGTTGCCTTTGTGCACAAAGGGGACGATCTCATCATTGCACATTCCCCAGCATGGGTGAGAGAAGGATTGAAGATTACTTAATTAAAATGCCTGTAAAATACTTTGAAGATATGTTATGGGCGTGAGCTGAAGCCTGCTGAAGTCAGTGGTAATCTTTTTATTGACTTGAGTGGTCTTTGGATCAGGTCCTGTTATATGAAGCTTTTAATATGAGCGATGGGAAAACCACTGAGCTGAATTTAGAACTCATTTGCAAGTCATCTGTTCTATATTTGGAAAAGAACAGTGAGCCAGATTCACTGAGCTACATAATCCCCTCGAAGTTTGCTCAGAAACCTACATAAACAGTGTTAAGGGCATAGTGCTCTTCAGTTGACAGCTTGGAGTTATTTCCTATACAGAGGGTGACATCAAACCTGTTGGGGGGATATTCAGGGTATATAGGGTTTTGCTGGTCCCCAGTGCCATGGGAATTAATTTCAACCACAGTGGAAAAATAAATCACTTGGGAACTGAGAAATGCATGTGATAATTGGTGAATTTGCATCAAAACTATTTCTGAACCTTTTTGACATAATGGATGTTACCGGTTGCTATTTCTCCAGGGGTTATTCTCACCTGAGCCTAGCTAGCCAAATAAAGCTCTGTCCAAGCTTCTTGTGTCATCGGTGGAGAGAGATGGGCCTCTCCAGGGGATGATGATTCATCCCAAATGAAGACAGATGCTTGAGACTGGGGAGAAGGGGGAGGGAAATGAGTAATGCGTGCTTGTAAAGCATTTGAATATAACTGCAAGAGGTGATGTTCTCCATGGAGAGAATGACTGTGGTTTTTTCCTATGAATGTGACTGCACTTCAAATCACTTTGCAGTACGAAGCCTTAGAATCAGGTGTCATATTCCAGCCTGTTTCCTTGATTTTGCTAATTGCTTCCTGTCACTTCAGTAACTTAAAATTGAGGTTTTGTGTCATCCAGGTATTTGTGTGTGCTGGTAGGTCTCTTGTTGTTTAATGAATCATTAAATAATTTTCAGCTTTCAGACCAAAAAGAAAATAGGAAAATGGATAAATAAACACTGTATTCGGCATCCTGTTCCTGTGCCACAAGGTTGCAGTCTTCAGTATACTAGAATGTAATTAGTTATTTAATTAGGGTCAGACTCCTTAGAATGCAGTTTACTTGAGTGACCGATTTAACTAATGATGTGTGTCATTTTACAGCAGTGTGTTCTTTGTATTAATTACATTATTCCGTCATTATGTGGTTTAATAAGAATCCGCACAGGTTAGTATTTTGGTACTACTACTAAAATTAATGGTTCCAAATTTCTGTGAAGTATCACACAGGCTCCTGTTTCACGATCCTGGGGCTTTTGGTTAACACCCTATTTTCAGAATGGCAGGGCTAAAATATCTAATTTGCTTTTCTATGCATTTGAAAAATATTAATTGCGTTTATATGTAGAAGACGGTAGCACACAACAGTTCAGTCTGAACTATATATACACCCACTTTTATTTTTTTGTTTTTTAAAGAACACTCAAGGCATTTGATGTCTGACTAACCAGTGTTTTCTTAAGGGGTTGAAGTTGGGTAACTTTTGACAGAAAAAATGTTGTCAGCTTCCTAGAGAGTCCACACAAGCCTTGAAGAGGCTGTAGAGACATGCTCACATTTAACATAACACAGTTCACTATTGCTTTTGGTTTTAACTTCGGGACTTTTATGCCCCTGTGATTGCACACATGCTCAAGTGTTTGCAGGAGATGCGGCTTTTATAATAGGCAAGAAATTACAAGGCAAAGATTTTAGTTTTCCTGTGCCTTGCTCCCTTGCCCCAAGTCAAGGGGTGTAAGGTAGTGTCACAGGTCTGTGGTCCTTGGCACATGTGTAGGTCCTTCTTGTTAATTACTTTTGATAACTACTTCTGTGTTGTGTGAAACAGCAAAAGTAGAGTGAAACTAAATTTAGTAATTTAGTCTTTTAAAAATTAGGAAATTTTAATATATTTACAGGCACATGTACAAAGATCTGAATGCATTCAAGCGTTTACGTGCTTTCCTGAATCCGGTCAATTAAAAAGCTCCAAGAAACAAAGTTCCCGTTGATTTTTTTTCTGGTGTTGTGGATGTAAAGCATTTCTGTAAATTAAGCTCTCTTCCTTTTCTGTTTGCTTGCGCTGTCGGAGGCTGGATTAAGACCTTCGTCCCCTAAGTCACATTGTAATTTTCAGTTAATTGAGAATAACAGATTTCAAAAGCAGCCAGGAGACTTGGAACACAAACCTCTCGACTTCCGTGGGACCTCTGCTCCTAAATGATGGGTAGAGGCTACATAAATCGAGTGGGGGTAGAAGGTTAGGATAGAGCAGGAGAGGAAACACAGGAAACAAACAGCTGTGGACAGATACTGTGATGATTGTGTTTGCAGACAGCTTGAGACAATTTCCTTGAGCTACCCCAGTGGTAATTCACATAAACCCTTTCTTGGTCTGACAGAAGCTTCTGAAAACCAGGGGAACTTTCTGAGCAACACAGCAAAAGAAAGACTCTCTGCTTGCACCGTATGTAACAAACTCGCTGCCTATATGCATATTCAAATCCATCACCATAATCTCAGGGTTGTGAAAGAAATAGTTAGCAGTACCTGGTGAAAAAAAAGCATGCCGAAATCCCAACACACATCTTTATCAATAAATTCATCTAGAAAATCAACAGATAAAGCAGAAAAATCTGAGAGGTAATTTCAGTAAGAGCTCGGTCTGTCTGGACGGAATTGCTACAGTGCTATAAAAAGCCAGGACGGTCACCTTTGGTGATGTCCTGAAGATATTAATGCTCTTATAAATTGCTCCTTGATAGACAAACAGATAAATAAACAAGACGAGGACCTGCTGGCTGCCTTGGCAGTTGATTCATATTAACATGCTGCATCTTTGCCAGGTTATCAAACTCACCTTTGAAGAATTTGAACTAGAAAGAGGATATGACACTCTGACAGTGGGTGATGGAGGACAAGTCGGAGACCAGAAAACTGTGCTTTACGTGTAAGTAGCATGTCCTTTGTCCCTGTGAGAAATCCACACCTAAGCTTTGCCTTACAAGATGTAGCTGATGTGTTTGGATGAAGGAGTCCCAGCCTGCTTGCTGTACCTCACTGGATGGTTTATGCTGTTTGTCATTTTTGGTGGAGCTGACTATTCTGGGTGTTTTGTTCTCTCATCACGTTTTTTAGGCTTCAGCTGACAGAAAGGCTGTTACCTCTTTGCTTCGCTTCTCTTGAACTGCCTTTGCCAGGGCCCCTTAGAGGCTGAGGCTGTCCAGGGAGCTGAGTGAACAGGGTTAAAGTTTGGATACCAGAGTAAATGCAAATCAAGCAGAAACTGAGAACTGTTTGGAGATCTCTCTCCTGTGTTGTCCTTCTTGTGCCGTCATTTTTAACAGTGCAAAGTGGCTGTAAATCCATTATCTTTGAGTGACATCCTGAGCATTTTACACCGAGAATATATTTGTGTAAACGATGACACATGCTTCTTCAAGGCTGAGAATTGGTCCCCCTCAATTTATACCCTTTAGTTTGCAAATATGATGTTCTATGGAGGTTTCTTCAGTAGAGGAAACATTGTAGATAGTCCTACTTTCCTTCTAGGCCTTCTGATATCAGTGTTTCCCACCTAAATAAGTTTTTTGGGGGGTTTTGGTTGTTTGGGGTTGTTGTTTTTGTTTGGGGTTGGTTTTTGGGTTTGTTTTTTTCTTTTTCCATTTTAATTATGAAGAAAGGACATTGGACCAGTACAGGGCCAGTCCAGCCGTGCTGAAGGAAGAGATGAAATCTCTGGTGCTGCCAGTTTTTAGAATAAAGAATTGCTGTGTTGCCAGTCTATTGTTTTCAGAAGATTGGAAGACCAAGTGCTTTATGTACAGTGCAGCTAATACAGGGAATAAAAGGGAAATGGGCTCTGTATTGGCATTTGCCATCTCTTGCTCAGTCCTCAATAACTGGAGATGGTTTTGGTTTCAGTTGGAAGGAACGTGTCAATCAGAATGATACGAAGGAACGTGTGGGGTTAGTAGATCGAGGGCAAGGGTTTTCCCTGACCCATGTGTTTTACAGCATGTAAGCATCAATTTCTGGTGTCTGCTACTTTTTAGGCAGTTTTGAGGTTGGTGAGAGCTCTTGGCTGCTCCGAAGAAAGCGTGTGCTGGGACCTCAGAGTCATGATGGAAGGTGGCAGTCAGTGTGCATGCCACAGGGAGTGCACACCACAGGGAGGTTTTTCCCCCTTTAAACTTTCATGTCTCCGAATTTTAGTTTTATGTACACGGTGTGCGCTCCACTCTGAATCTGCATCATGCTAAGGAAGTGGGTTTAGTGGAAGTGAATCCCCGTGTAGCATTAGGGGTAAGTCGTCAGGATCTTTTACAATAGCCTCTAGAAAATGCCACAGTTGAAAAAGAGTGAGCCTTGACCATCTTTCAGAAGGCTGTTTATTCTCATTAACCTGCTGATGTTAATGGTTTATGTTTGCCCTTCCTCCAGTAAAGTGTCTCTGTTCCTTTTCTGAAGGGTCAGTGAGAAATCAAGTTGTGTATCATTCAAATGTAATTGTGATAACTGTGTGTCATTCAAATCCACTTCACTGAAGAAACAATGATTCTGCTATAGCTTCTCTGAATCATAAAAGTAAAATACTGTGTAGCTTTATGGAAATCCAAAATTTAAAAACTGATGGAGACCTCAGGGTGCTATTCATTTGAGTACTTCAGGAAATCTATCTCGCTCTCAGCATGTCTGTTCTGAGCAATGTAATTCAGTACTGCAAGCGCAAAGTTACCTGCTACAGCCATGCCACAGTGCGCATAATAGCGGGGAGAGTCTAAAAGCAGAGCAAATCGTGAGTCGTGCTGTGCTAATGCAAAGGTGTGCTGCTTGCCTGAACTTCCTGACTTCGGGTCAGCTTTGAGCACCTACAGGTATTTTGCTCCATATTCTAGAGCTCAGACATGCCCCATGACTGTGTTCAGGTCCTGACCACTTCTGAAAGCGTGGCTTCTTGCCGTGTTGGGGGTAGCTTCTGAAGACGTAAGCCAGTGGTGTTTGTCAAAGTCTCAAATGTCTTGAGGGCACTTGCAAGGCCAGGTACTGGAGCAGAAGCAGGGAAAAGTCACCGTGTCTTTCAGAAGGAATATCTGAAGTGATGAACTGGGTGTTGGAACCAGGGCCACCAGCATCCCACTTTAGTGTCTTAACTTGAAAGACTCCCTTCTTTTCTATCTAATCAAAAATGTATAGGAGCAAACAGCCCTCCAAAAGCTACTCTAGCAAAGCTGTTGTACTCTTTCCAACTGGTAGTGTGTTTCATATTGTGTTTTTTAATTCCTCCTCTTCATTTGTTTTTCCACATGAATCAGCCTCCCACTCCATTTTCACTTAAGGTTTGCTGGTCTTTCCGAACTCTCTGTTTCTCTGAGGTTCATTTTCCTATACGTTTCTTTTCAGAACATGAACACCGGTGATACTTAGGTCAGGAACTCTAACCTGCAATGTATATAAATGTAAAGTCTGATTATTGCAAAAGTGTTTGTAATTAAAGCGTCACAGAACATTTCACAGCTGATTGGTCAAAATGTGCAAATTACTGCTAGGGGAGTAGTTTATAATAACATGCTGAAATCATTTCTCATTCCATCCCTTTTTGTCTGCCTAAAGCCCATGAAGATTTTCCTAGATTTGATTTTAATCGTTCCATGTTTTCTCACTCTGTATTAGCTACTCAACACCTTGCTAATGCAAACTTGGAATATCTGAGACTGTCTGCACAAGGTGTCGTGTGTGGTATCTTCTCCCAGTGCAGGAGAACTTTTAATTAAATTGCTGATGCTAATCCTAACAGGGAAACTTATTGTTATTTTTAATCTGGGAGGATAAGTTAAAAACGTCAGAGGTGTGAAGGCCACAGAAATACTCCATTTGTAACCAATGTGGTTGAAAGTCCATGGACAACTTTTCTCAGCAGTTGCTGTCCTCTTACCTACTGTCAGTTGAATTCATGTATCAGGTTGGATATCCATTGGATACAAGCTGTAGGGTTTTTTTGAGGAATCAGCATGCAGAAACCTAACCCTGTCAAAGATAGGTGTTCCAATTTTCTTACTACTCTTCATTTATTCTTGGCTATTCAAGAGGAACTCAGTCCTGCAGCCTTTCAAATCAAGAAATACATTTGAATCAACTTGCATAGCAGCAGACGTTATCCCAAACTGAGGTGTGAAGGACCATTTGTTTCCAGTCTCACTCACATCCCCATAAAATGCATCTCGGAGAACATAACAGATTGTTAGGCTGAGCTTTCTGACTTGCAGAGAGGATATTATTCCCTAAAGTAAAAAGCACCCAAATCAATCATTCAGCTTGTTAAAGTGGAGTAGGAAAGCATGCAAAAACCTTTGAAGCGCCTTTTTCTGAAGGTTTTTCTCTTGGTATGTTCCTCGTTCCTGCCTGTCTGCTGCTTAAATAACTCGAGAAGAATCAACAATAGCACTTCTTCTGCACTCCCCATCAAACACTCTGGATGCAAAACAGTCATTAAAACAGAATTACTTCTTAATTTACCAGCACCCTGGGATCAATGAAATTTCTGATGCAGGTCAAAGCCGTAACAGAGCAAAGGTTGGGGCAGAACTGGGAGAGCTTTGATGGGCTTGGGGAGGCATGAGTGTGATTTCAGGGAAAAACACACTCCAGATTCCATGGCCAAAGCCTGCGCGGTGACTGGTTTCAGGTGTTACAGTAGTCCCTGGCGTGTATGTGACTGGTGAACGTTTCTGGGATGGGGAGGAGAGTTATGTGTGCAGCAAGGTTGGTCCCATTTATGTTAGATACCTGTAAGGCTGTTGGAAAGAATCTGGCACTCAGCAGGTAGCCAGCGTTAAGAATGTCAAGCAAGTAAAGTAGCACAACCCTTCAAGCAGTCATTTGGCTTCACTCTAAACAAACGGTGATCGGCAGATCAGCCATACTGTCTCCGATTGCCCAGGAAACTGGGAATTGCAACAATTATGTCTGGAGGTTGCAAGTTATGTTTATTCACAGGATGCTATCAACACACAGCTGCTGGGTCTGTTGCCTTGCAGTATTGGTTTGCAATAATTCTGCCTTGGGAGCTCGGGGATCAATTCTATCAAGAAGTCTTTCAGGTGCTGCTATTGTACTTGAGAATGGTGCCAGACAGAAGTCATATCTGTATATATGTAAGTATTTAGGTTTAAGCAAACACCACAGGAAAAAAAATACCTATCCACTTGCAGTAGTTGCACTTAAGGTAATTTATAAACTTATCACAGATGATACCTTAGCAGAAATAGTATAACAACATTAAACACTGCTGCTAAGACAGGCAACATAACACTCATACTCCTGTAGTAATGATCCCTTCCCACGCACTGTTACTCTGTTTTCAGAAGCAGAGGGAAGGGAAGGAGCTGTGCTCCAAGCGGGCATTTGTGCGTAAGTGCCTGCACTGGTGCTTGTGTGGGTGGGGGATAAAACTCTGAAGCTGTGTTGAACCACAACGAGGTGATTAATCCCAAAGGCTGAATGAGCCCCACATGGCTCATTAATATGGATATATTGGTGACATTTCTCTAAATCTCTTTAGCTCTCCTAGGAGTGTCCTTGAAGGGTAGGCAATGTCCTGATCGTCCTGTACTGCCTGGATTAGTAGCACTTCTCAAGGGCTCACAGGGCATTCAGCAGACTTGAGGCTTGTGCCTTGTCTTCAGGGGTTTTTTTGAGATCCTTGTGGAAACTTCTCTGTCAGGATAGAAACGTAGCAGAGAATGTGTTGAAAGCAAATTTTTGCAATACTAGAAAATACCTCTAAAGTATTTAGACCTCAGTCACCGGTATGGGTTCTGGGAATTTTATGTTTGCTTATGTTTTGCTTCAGTGAGAAAGGAAATGGCTACTATTAATGCTGGATAATATATTATAATAATGGTACTAAATTTTAATTATTATAGTGGTGATGATGATAACTCGCAGGCCCTCAACTATGATAAAAGACTCACAGTTTAGGTAGTATGTGGAAACATGCCAAGAGGCTCATTGGTCTTGAAAATCTATCAGGTATTTGGACAGTGTTCTGTTTTGGGGTTATTCTTAATTGTGTTGGCATCGCTCTTGTTATTTTCTGCTCCTACAGAGGTATATGTGGCCTTTATTTTGGTGGGGAAAAAAGTTTGGGAAGACATACAGGCTGTTTACTTGTTCTTATTTATTTTTACAGCTTGACAGGCACCACAGTCCCTGATCTCATTGTTAGCACACACCACCAGATGTGGCTCCTCTTCCAGACAGACAGTGTCAGCAACTTGCTGGGGTTCAAAGCAACATATGAAGGTAATCTAAGCATCTCTCAGAATTTACCTGTTTTAAAAGGATCAGGGATGAGATGGGTACAGTTGTTTGGGAGAAAAGAGAGAAAGAAGCTTCTCTAAATATATTGAAGCTCTGCAGATTTTTTTCTTAAAACTGAAGCTTTGCTCCAATAAGAACAGCTTTTATGATTTCTTTTCCATGAAAGCAGACTGGGTGGGTAATGTTTCATTGCCATTTCATCTGCTTTGTTGGAAAAGAGTTGGTGAATTTCAGCTGATGGCAACAGACTATGTCTGCGGGAGAAAATGAGATCAAGTAATCAATGGTTCCAGTAGATGAGTGGTATCAACTACTTTAAACTTTGACTAGTCTGGAGTATTATGAATGAAATTAAAGTTAATGCTGGGATTTTTCAAAAGAAACTCATGAAATGCGTTAGGATGTTGTCATGGTTTAACATCAGCTGGTGACTAAGCCCCACCCAGCCGCTCGCTCACTCCCCCTCAGTGGGATGGGGAGGGAATTGGAAGGGTAAAAGTGAGAAGACTCGTGGGTTGAGATGGAGACAGTTTAATAGGTAAAGCAAAAGCCGCACACGCAAGCAAAGCAAAGCAAGGAATTCATTCACTCCTTCCCATGGGCAGGCAGGTGTTCAGCCATCTCCAGGAAAGCAGGGCTCCATCACGCATAATGGTGACTTGGGAAGACAAACGCCATCACTCCAAGTGTCCCCCCTTCCTTCTTCTTCCCCCAGCGTTATATGCTGAGCATGACGT